AGTGGAAGAACCTCTTCCAGCAGTATGACCGGGACCACTCAGGTTCCATCAGCTACACAGAGCTGCAGCAAGGTGAGGCCCATGCAAGGGCATGGTGGGCAGGGCAGAGCTGGACTCTTCTCTTTAGTTCCTAAAACAGAAACGTGTCCTTTCATGTGTCCACCCGTACCACAAAATGCTGTCCTAGTGCAGGCCCACTCTTGGAGACTAGTCTGTGTGGCTCTTCCCTCTAGTTCCCAGCATATAGAATGGAAAGAGCCCTGAACAGGGTCTCAGAAAGCAGGGTTCTGCTGCCACCTCTGCCAGAGGCTGTTTCCTTTTTGTCTCCAGGACCCATAGCACTCTAAAATTGCAGTTGAGCCAGGTTTGGTTGTGCACACCTGTAGACTCAGTGACTCAGGGGGCTGAGGCAAGAGAATTGCAAGTTTGAGGCCAGCCTTAGCAACTTTAACAGGACCCTGTCTCAAAAAATAAAAAGGACTAGTAGCTCCCTGGCAAGGCACTCCTGGGTTCAGTCCCTGGCACAGGGTGGGTATGGCGGAGGTGGAGTGGAGTAAAAGTTGAAGCTGAGTAAGATGACCTAAGAGCACAACTCCAAGTCTGGTTCTGATCCAACGCTGGGTCCACAGCCTGCCATCTGAGCCCAGACCAGTAGGTAGGAGGACAGGTAGCTTGTGTGGTTAGCTGCCTGTTAGAATGGGGCTAGCTATTGGTGAGAACCCAGTGGGGAGCTTCCTCACCTAGGAGAGGGGAAAAACTACAGAGAATCTGGTCCTTTGCCCTGGCCATGGGTTTCAGTCAGACTAAACAGGTGTGTGGTTGGTGAGAACCACTTCTGCCCCTGGCAAGAGGGAGGGAGGGATCAGTACTAGCACTACTCTTGCCAGCTTCTCTAAGGGAGATTTGGAGAAAGAGGGAGGGGGGCCTTCCAGCCAAGGGGAACCTCCAGACAGAGCCCCTCTTGTGCACCTGACCACCTGAACAGACCTGTGGGACTTCTCTGGCCTCCTTGTGCTTCCATGCCTGTATCCTAGAAGTCCCCTGCTCCATGTGCTCCAGTGCTGCTGGTCAGTGGAGTTGCTCACAGCAGGTTTTTGTGTGTCTGCTTTGTGTGCCCCTCCTCTCCAGCTCTGTCCCAAATGGGCTACAACCTGAGCCCCCAGTTCACCCAGCTCCTGGTCTCCCGCTACTGCCCACGCTCTGCCAGTCCCGCCATGCAGCTCGACCGCTTCATTCAGGTGTGCACCCAGCTGCAGGTGCTGACCGAGGCCTTCCGAGAGAAGGATACCGCGGTGCAGGGCAACATTCGGCTCAGCTTCGAGGACTTCGTCACCATGACAGCTTCTCGGATGCTATGACCCAGCCTATCTGTAGACAGTGGAGCACACCAAGGACCTTTCCTGGCTCCTTAGAGTGGGAGAAGCATGTGGGTCTCTCTTCTTTTCTTTCCCCTTCTAAAAAAATTCTCCCTAGCTTGATGCAGCACTGTTCCCAAAGAGGGTTGAGGATTCTGCATCAGAGCCACCAAATAATGGATCCCTGGACTGTGGCCATACAGGTAGGAAGGAGCCTGACCTAGGAGAGGACTGGAAATTGAGTGTCCTGACAGGCCTGAGCAATCGGCTGTGCCTCTGGCCCTTAGCTTCCCCCTCTGTGCACTGACACCAGTGATAAGTGTTCTTCAGCCTCTTACCGTTAGCATCTGCCTTCCCTCAGCGACTGTCCTGTCAGATGAGCCCAGCTTCTCCAAAATGGAATTTGACCAAGCTTGAGAGAGATTTGCCTGTGGGACCAGTGGCTTGGATTCCTGCTCATTCACATCCACAAGTCCTTGTGTGTTAACTTCTAACTGGAGGCTGTCCCTGCTCAGGGAGCTGGGACAGTCTGCCGTCTGGGTATCTCGGCCAGGCTACTGCCCTCCAAAGCTTGGACCCTTCAGTTGCCTGCCATGCTCTGCTCTGCTTTAGTTCCTGGAGGACAGATGTCACCTCCTACCGCCAATGCTTTTTTTTTTTTTTTAATGTGTGAGTTATCATATGGGGCCAAAAGTCTAGTGAAACTGTAAGCTTCAATAAAAGAATGAAATTCTGTAGTCCCATGCTTTCCTCCATGACTTCCCAGCCACCAGTTCCTACACATCTACCCACTTATTTATTCTTTCATTCAGCAGATATTTAAGTCCATACTGTCTACCTAGCCATGCAGAAAGAAGCAGCCTGGGGGCTGAGACTGACAGGGCTCCCCTCACTTGTCAGGGTGAACCTGAGGTGTTGGGTGGCTCCTGGGCCCTGCCAGGTGTACTTCCATACAGCTGGGGGTCAGCCCGAGTCTATTTCATGGAAGTTGTAGGGCTGGCCTTTGGTGCTGGAAGCAGCCACCCCAAGCTTTGCACAGCATGGCCTTTTTATTATCTCAGGCATGAGTTTTATTTTCCAGACAAACTCCATTTATGAAGTCATAACTTCTCCCCTTTTTTATTAAGTACAGACGTCTGTACCTGCCAGTTGGATCTCTAGATCAGCATGACACCCAGACTACATTGGGTGTCTATAATGAACTGACAGAATTTCAATCAAAAGCTAAAGACACCAGACATTCTAATGTACCAGGGGGGCCTTATCACAGGAGGTGGTGTGATTATCCTTTGACTTTTGGAGATGAAGATAAGCACTCCGAGGCCTTTAGCAGGGCTATCCTTCCTGCAGAGGGTGAGGGGTGGTGTGACTGTTTTGCAGGCCAGTGAGGCCCAGCAGGCATGGCCGGCTCAGTCTGTTCAGCCTTCTTCCTCTCCTCTGGGCTCTGTGGTGCTGGAATCCCACAATTAGATGGAGCCAATTCTCAAAGGACAACCCTCATCCAGAGCTAGAATCCCCTCCAGGGTCCCCATGGGAGTCCAGTCTCTTCTTTTAATTCTCCAGTAACAAAAAACTCAGGGCTTTTCTAGGTAGCCCATTTCCTCCTTTACTGGTAGAAACTTCCTGATGTGCATCCTAAAATTTACCACCTTGGAAACACCAGCCATTGGCTCCAGTTTTCTCTTTCGGGCCACCTGGGACATTTGTTTCCCCCCCTGCATGCCAATCCTCTAGACAGTGAAGCCTGCCACCACATTACCCCAAGACCCCTAGGCCAAGGAAGCCCCAAGGTCTTCAGCTGCTCCTCACTGGGCATCACTCCCCTTGCCATGTCCTTTAGTTCATCAGTCCCCAAAGTGCAAGCCTAAGACCCCCTGTTCTGGCTCCATCCTGCAGAGCAGAAGCAGAACTGCAGTCATTAGAGGAAACTCCTATTGTCTCTGTTTCTGCTGAGCCAAGTGTCCACTGAAAACTCTTTAATTTTTCTTTTTTCATGGTGCTGGGGATCACACCCAGAGCTTTGCACATGCCAGGCAAGTACATTACCACTGAGCTGCAGCACCGCCCCAAACCTGTCTTTAGAATGGTGCCAATCACAGTCCCTATCTCTGTGGTCAGGGCAGTGGAGGGCTCCAAGACCTGGGCTATCCTTGTGGGTCTGGCCCTGGGGCCTGGTCCTCACACTTTGTTCTTGCACCGTGCACCTCCAACCCTGCCTACAAACTTTGCCAACAGCCTTGGACCCCAAGGGCAGTGGGAACATCAAAAGGACAGGACAGCCTGTTGCTCCTGGCAACCATTGCATGTCCACTGACAGCTGGAGCTGGGCTGGGGCGAGTCTTGAGGGCCTGTGACAAGCAGCACACTGTCCACCTGCTCGGGGCAGGGTGGGACTCCTAAGAAGCTGTGCCTAGGTGCTCCTGGGCGGGCCCACAGCTTGCCCTGCTTCTTAACAGGTGAGGTCGGGGAGCCCGGGACTCCATTAATCAAGTGAAGCAGACCTGGTGGCAGGCACGGCCGCATCAGCCTCGGCCAGTTGCCTCCCGTTCCTCTCAGCAGAGCAGCACTCCAGACTGTACTCCCATCTTGCTCTGGCAACGAGGATCAAGGCCTCTGGCAGCCCTGTAATCAGCTTGGTAGCAGCCGGAGCACGTCCGGCCAAGTCTGTGGCTTTCTCTTTTTATCCTGTGAGTTCACAGAAAATAAATGAGACCCTAGTTTCCAAGAAGGTGAGGGAACAGTAAATCAGTCTGTTAACCCGCTGTCTGCCCACCCTACCCCCTTACCTTCCAGAGACCACCGAGTTGGGAGCCAACAAATGTGTCAAGAATTAAGGTCCCAGGCATCAAGGGCTTGGCACCACTGCGGAGGCAGCACTGAGCATACCTGAGGCCTGGTCCATCTGGGATCCCACGGGGAGTAGGGGGCAATGAGTAGAAGCATTCCAGTGTCTTGTGTCACCTCCCCCAGCTGCCCCACCTTCCTCTCCTCCTAACCTAAGCAGCACAGATTTTGTGTAATGACAGGGAAAGGGAACATTCAGTGCCAGGCTTTTAATTACAATTGCTTTGGGCTGCTGGCTTCCAAGCCGACCGGCCACACATAGATGTTTTATCACACCACAAAGCCATCAGGTCCAGCTATGGTGTGTGTACTGGGCACCTGGTGACATGGGGCTGTGTTCATAACCCACCGGGGAAGGGCTGGGCCCAGATTGGTTCACACAAGCACAGAGCAGCTGGCCAAGTACAGCCCTGGGCATTAGGGAGCCCCTGAAGCAGATGGAAACACCTGTGGAGACCTTTACAGCAGACTCCAGGGAAGGCTTATAATTGGGCAGGAGAAAGTTCTTTGGGAGGAAGGCCAAGCTCTGGAAAGATGATGGCGGTGGATAATACTGTGGGGTTCGGTACAACAGTAACCAAGTCCACAGCACTTCACAGTTGACAAAGAGCTCTCCACTCTCTAGAGCATGCTTAAGCCTCACATCAACCCTGCCTAGGGATCACAAGCTCAGAGAGGGGAAACCACTTGCCCAGAGTCACAGGGGCAGAAAACCAGGACTCCACACCGAGCCTGTCACTGCATCCAGCAGTCTCTCCATGAGGCACAGGGATGAATCCCAGGACCCAGAGGAGCAACCCAGGCAGGGCCCACTGAGCCTCCCAGAGCCTCCAGGGTAGCCCTCCCTCACGGCAGCACTGTGGTGACGCTGGTGAGCACCACATGCTCGGAGACTTTGGAGACGGAGCACCGGCTCTGCAAGGACAAGGACTTGTGGCTGGCAGAAGAGCGGGGACTGGGGGCCTTCAGAGAGCTGCAGGGACCCAGGCCAGGCAGGCAGCAGGAGAAGGCGGCCTTAAACTGCTCCCGGAATTTACCTTGGTTAGGAGACAAAAGACACAGCCATAAGGAGACAAACGCAGCAGGAAGGGACCTTGAGCCCAAGGGACCTTGAGCCCACACAGCTCCAGCCAAGCTGCCTGAGAGGAGGCTGGGAGGGAGGGTAGAGTTGGAATGGAGAGCCCCAGCAACCTCGGCACTGCACAGGGAACGAGGACAGAGGCCCAAGCGGCTTCCCAAAGAAAAATGCAATTATCATCTGATTCCTTGGCTCTGGCTCAGAGCCTGGCTCAAGGCGTCTGGCTCAGGGGCCTTGGGTCACCTCGGCCCCACTCTGTGTGCACATGGAGAGGCTTGGGGCTTACTCTGCTGCCAGGCTTTCCCCAGATCTCCTGTAAGATGATGAGATGGCAGCAGCAGCCCTTGCATGTGGCAGTCCCACTGTGCCAGGCACAGTAACAGCTTCCCCAGCATCCATCCCCCCAGAGCATCCCAGCATCCTGAGAGGTCATAGGGCTTTATCCTCACCTCACAGAGGAGATGCTCAAAGACACAGGCTCACCCAAGGCCACCAGTGAGAGAGAAGAGTGATCACCACACCCACACCAGCTCAGCCCACTCTTCCAGGGGAATGCGGAACCAAGCCCTCCTTGACCATGTGTCACCAGCCTGCCAGCCGCACTGGTGCCCAACATAGGCCAAGCACACAGTAGGTGCTCAGTAAATGTAGTCCAAGCAAAGAGGTGTGATTCAGGAAGTCTGCCTGCCCTTTCCTCCCCACAATGCTCCTCTCTTGTGTTCTCTCCCCTGAGCTAGAACCAGCCAGGCAGCCTTTGGGAGTAATTTTTGGGTGGCATTGAGGATTACATAATGACCTCCGATAGCTTCTTGAACATCTTAACTGTTTCTGAAAAATTATTTGTGTCCAGACTTGAATGGCCATCTAGACCAGCTCCTTAGAAGCCTAATGCTAAATATGAGGTCTAGCGAGTCACTTCTGCTGTGCCAAGCCTGAGGGGTCAGGCCACTACCACCCTCCTGGAGGCCTGAAGGCAGAGTGGAGATGGGGGCTACAGGACAACAGACACGAAGCCCATGGTGGGAGTGAGGGCCTGCAGGCCTGGACTTCCGGAGGTGGGAGAGAGAGGGCAGTGCTGGAGGCCGTGGATCCAGGGGAAGCCCCTAGATTCCTGGGGCGTCTGCTGGACGGCCGGGAGAGCCCTTTCATGGGACTGAGCTGCCTCTGCTGGTGGCTCTCCCTTACCCTGGGCCCTGGATGATACACCATCCCCTCAGCCGGACTCCTGGGCTTTCTTCCCACAGGCCTGGCTCCCTCTGGGGAAAATAGACTATTCTGCCTGTATTGACCAGAGAGGGGCATGCCCCCAGGCTGGGAAGGGAAGTGGAGGCCACTGGCCCAGCCCTTGCCCTTCTGTGGTCTGTAGGATCTACCAGACTCCATCCTGGGTGCTGGCCACTGCTGGAGCCCAGGCTTCTGGGTGTGACCTAGTCTTTCCTGAGTGGGGGAACCCAGAGCAGAGGCGTGATGCTCAGGAGAGAGCAGGTATATCCTTGCCACCATCCTTTCCTTGGGCCCTGGATTGACAGTGGGGACACTTGTCCCAGGTACTGCTGGCCACCCTCATTCACTCTGCCCAGCCCACTCACCGCTGAGGAAGTTGTAGATGATGGGGTTGGCGGCGCTGTTGGCATACACCAACCAGTGGGAGAAGGTGAAGCAGGCGTACACAGCTTCGCGGTCGCTGGCTTGGCGGAACATCCCGAACACCCTAGTGCCAGGTGGAGGAGTCAGAAAGGGGCAGGTGTTGGGGGTGGTGCTCACGGAACTCCAGCTGGGAAGGGCAAGTTTCCCCCGCCCACTTCTGTCCACTCAGTGGCCTTTCCTGGGTTTCCAAGTCTGAGGTCTTGCCTATAGTTTTGGGTTCTCAAGCACAGAAAGTAGGACCACAGAGGGCCTAGGGACAGACACCAGGTATATGTGCCCAGTCTCCAGCTACCTAATCCCCTGGAGTCCCCATCCACCTTCTCATCCAACCTCACAGCGACATGAGGAGCCCCGGTCAGCATCTATTCTTCAGCTAAGGAAACTGAGGCTTAGAGAGTTGAAGTCCCAAGATCACACACCCAGGACACAGCCAAGCACAAACCCAAACAGGCTGACTCCTGCCCAATAGCCTATGTACTTCCCCAGAATCCTGTGGCCCCTCATCTGCTGTGTCCCTGTGTACCTCTGCCTCGACTGCTGTCCCTCCAGATCCCTGCAGGCTGACTCCCTCACTTCCTCCAAGTCTCTGCTCAAGGGTCACTTCCTTTTGTTTTTATAAATTAAATCTAAAACAAGCCAGGCACCGTGGCACACGCCAGCCACTCAGGAGGCTGAGGCGAGAGGATCATGAGTTCAAAGCCAGCCTCAGCAACTTAGCAAGACCCTGTCTCTAAATGAAATATTTTTTAAAAGGGCTGGGGAGGGGCTGGGCTTGTGGCTCAGCCATAGAGCCTTCACCTCGCACATGCGGGGCACTGGGTTCGATTCTCAGCACCACATAAAAATAAAATAAAGGTATTGTGTCCAACAACAACTAAAACAAAATATTAAAAAAAAGAGCTGGGGATGTGGTTCTGTGCCTAAGTCCCCCTGGGTTCAATCCCCAGTATGCCCCCCCAAAAAAGTCTAAAACAGAAAAACCATTTTCCCTATTTTCTTTTTCTTTATAGCAATGATCACTGCCTGATAACACACATGAGTTTTTCTATTTTCCTCCTCTCCCACTACAGTGTAGTCCCCACGAAGAGAGGGACTTTGCCTTGTTCACCCTGGAACGTGATGCTTGAGGAGTGAAGGGACGGGTTTTCACGACAGCCCAGAGCCATTACTATTGCTATACCATTTAATGAGCAAGGACATGGAGGTGCGGGGACTCAGGGAAGAGAAGGATCTGTCCTGATGTGGGGGGCCAGTAGAGCTCCTCCCACACCCTCCCACCTTTGGCTGCGCTCTCACCTTTTGAGGACATTGAGGACACTGATGGGCAGGTAGCAGAGGGCAAAGACCAACAGCACCACCATCAGCATTTTGGCTGTCTTCCTCCGGGCCCGCATCTGCTTCACCTCCGCCAGGAAGGCGCGGGCCCGGGGCTGGGGCTGTGCACTGGGACCCTGCCCCTGGTCCTCCAGCTGGTCTGAGGGTCTCTTCCAGTTCCGTACCAGTGCCAAGGTAGTGCCTGGGATCTGTCCAGCACACACAGAGAGCAGTGGTGGGCATAGCTCTTTGGCAGGACTGATCTCTTTGGGTGGGTCCACTCCTAGCTAGACCCTGGGGCAGAGTGGAGGTGGCAAGGAACGAGCTCTTGCAAAAGGAGGGAACCCAATATTCACAATAAAGATGAACACTCTGGACTTGGTGATTAATATACTCTCATTTTGCATTATCTCACTGCAAAACCACCTACGGCATGCTTTTGAAAAGGCATTATTGATTTTTAGCTGTAGATGAGACAATTGAGACTCAGAGAGAGGCGGAGCCCCAGGCCACAGCCTCAGGTCTGAACATCTCCTGGCTGCCCATCCATCCTCCTTCAATATCCAGCTGCATCTGCGGGGACAGGGTGTGGGTGGGGTGAGCTGGGCCTCTCCCTGGCCCATGTCAGACCGTGGGGAGGCCTAGGTGAGGGGTGAGCAGGAGGGCAGCAGTGAATGACCTGGGTCTCAGAGCATGGGTCCCCCTCTGGGTTGATGCCCATAATCCTGGGGTGGTTCTGGGCTCTTGGAGCAGCCAGAGACATCCTTGAAGACCCTCCTGCCTCTAGACACCTGGATCACCCCCCATCAGAGGAGGATGGGGCTAGAGTGCAGGAAACTTGGCATCCAGAGCTAGTCAAACATTCATGAGCTGTGAAACAATCTCATCTAACTTTCCAAGCCTTGGTTTCTTGTCTGTTAGATGAGGTCAGTGCCTCTGTCCTGCTGGACAGGGGGTCTGGGAGGGGCAGGTGGCAGGCGTTGGGAGCCTGCAAGGCAGGCCAGTATGGAAAGGCCCCACCTGACTGGGCATCTTTCCAAAGCAGGGCTCGGGTCTAACCAGTCAATCTCACCACCCACCCTGCAAGGTCTGGGTGCCGTCAACACTGTGTGGAATGTAAGTGGTATTCCAGAAGCGAGTGTCCGTGCCTGAGCCTGGTCACTCTCTGGCCTGCATCCTCTCACTGCCCCAGCACTGACCAGGGAGTTAATTCCACTAGTGCTTAGGGCCTCTGAGCACCCCTCTCCTCATGACCCCCCAGCAGGAAACCCACTGCAGAGCCATTTGTAATAGAGGAAAGAAGCCAGGCCCTGGGACCGGCTCTGCCCCTCATTGGCCTTGGCAGGAGACTGCCCTTGCTCAGCACTGTGACGCAGGCAACAGCATGTCTTTTTTAGGTAGTGGTGAAGACACTGGATACAAAGCTTCACCAGGCAGAAACTCAGAGCTGCTGTTAATGTTTCAGAGATAAAATGAGTATTAGAAACTCACAGATCCAGGTTTCAATCCCTGATTTTCTACTCTCTAGCTGAGGGCTTTGGGGGACATGATGTTCTTTCTCTGTTTTCTTACGTATTTCATGGAGGATAAGATACAGAGGTTAAGAGGTTGCAGGATTCCCTGGGGGTGATGGAACATAAATGGCAGCTACTGGTAATGGAGTTACCAAGAGTTAGGCCTAGCACTCTAGGTTTCAAGTTCCCCAATGTCCCCACGTCCCTGGGCCTTGCCTCTTTCCAGTTGCAGCCAGGATAGCATATTCTGAAGGCAGAGGGTGTCTACTCCCTGAGGCCAGTAGCCCCCCACCCCTCTCAGTATAGACAGTGCCCAAAAGAGCTGGCCTCACCTGGCGGCCCCAGAGCTTGCGGAAGATCTGGAAATAGGCCATGGCCATGAGGCCCAGTGGGGCCAGGTAGGTGACAATGAAGAAGCAACTGTGGTAGATCTTGGGGTACAGGTCATCTGTAGGGGCCAAGAGATGTAAGGGTCAAGCTCAGCATGGGGGCCCCAGGCTTACCTGGTTGGCAATGCCACCCTTCCTGTGTAGGGCAAGGCCTGAGTGCAGCTGAACCTCCCCCATGCTGGCACCAAGGCAGGGAGATCGCCTGGAGTCACCCAACCTGCAGTGTCTACCCTGGAGGGACCCCTAGGGATGGACAGATGTCTGCCCTATGGGTATGTGTCCTGGAGGTGCCCACTATTACCTGCCCAGCGTTCGTCACAGACAGAGAAGAGCCGGGTTCGGTTGGCTAGTTCAGGCAGCACACTGCTGCATTCCATGACAGCAGCCTGCGGGACCATGACAGCCAGCGACACGGCCCAGATGCCCAGGATGGAGCCACGGGCACGCCGGGCGGTGCTCTTGAACAACAGTGGGTGGCAGATGGCATACCAGCGGTCCAGGGCAATGAAGCTGAGAGTCAGTACTGCCACTGACACTGACACGGCCTGCCCCACAGGGACACAGCATCAGAGATATGAGGGGGAACAGCCCAGAGATAACAGACATCCCAGTGTGGTGCAAATTCTGACTCCATTTAATGGCTGTGTGAATTTGTGCAAGGTACTCACCCTCTCTGAGCCTCATATGCAGAATGGGAATATACCATGTACCTGGCAGGATACTGGTGAGAATAAATGAAATTGTGAATGGGAATGCTCAGCTGGAGACCTGGCATATAGTAGGTGTTCTCCTACTGTGAATAATTACCTCCATTTATGGAAAGCATTACGTGGCAGGCACCATTCTCATGAGGTGGGTACTGTGTTACAAATGAAGAAACTGAGTACAAAATTCCCTCCTCTGTCTTTATGTTTAAAGTCTCCAGAGTTAATCAATTGAGTGGAAAACCTTGAAACAGCGCAAAATCCAAGAAGCATTTCTCTCACCCTGGAATGCCACCCCTGCTATAAATTGTTAGGAGAAGGAGGCAGAGATGGGTCCGGACCAGTATCATGGGTAAGCATGGCCTCCAGGGCTGCCCCCTGCTTCTGGGGTGCAGGGAGAGGGTCAAGAGATAAATCAGAGAGGCCACGGCCAGCCTCTGGCTGGCACTCCTTCTCCACAAACCTCATCAGGTGCCCTGGTTCCCACCACAGGGAAGGCAGTGGATAGTCCCCTCAACTCTGCCCCCCTTGGGATCAGGGTGCAAGCCCAGCAAGTATTGGTGTTTGTGTCACAGTGGGCTGATGCCTCTCTTCTCTGCTGTGTGCCTGGAGGTCACCATGGATGCGTATGTGGTGTGGCAGTGTTTGGGACCAGGAGTTCTGTGTAGTAGCATGTGGAGCTGTGGCTGTGTCCTCAAGTGCTCACCCCAGTAACCTGTCCTTCATGGCAGTAGGGGATGACAGTGCATTGGTCTTGAGCCACTGTGTCGTGCCTGAAAGGCCAGCCAGAGTCACTGAGACCTCTGGAAGATGGTGGTTTTCGTGTAGGTGTGACAGAGGCTGGTGAGGGGTTCCTGAAGAGCTCACCTGTAGATAGGGGATGACCTTGCAGAGGGTGTGGCCAAAGAGCCAGGACTCGGTGATGTCCACTAGTAGACTAGCGGGCAGGCAGATGGCCGTCACCAGCACGTCAGCCAGCGACAGGTTGACAATGAAGTAGTTGGTGACTGTCCTCATGTGGTGATTCCGCCACACGGCCAGGCAGACTGCAGCCAGCAGCCAGGGGGCCAGGGCAGTGAAGCCTGAGTCAGAGCCACGCCCACCCCGCCCCGCCCAGCCAGTGAGCCCCTGTCCCCGCGAGCAGGAGAGGGTCAGACGGGACCGGGACTCACCCCCCAGTCCCCCGAGGAAGCGTTACAGGAGAGGGCAGGACCGAGACCTACCCAGAGTGTTGCCCACCAGGGCCACGAGGAACACGGCCACGTAGGCGGCGATGAGGACCCACTCGTACTGCTTCGGGTACAGATAATCGCGCCACAGATAGCGGAGAAACTCGTCTTCGTAGTCTGGAGGCACGCGGGACGGCTCCCCGCTACCAGTTGGGACCTCCGTCTGGGCCCCTGGGGCTGCCGAAGGCTCCATGAGCTCAGGAGCCGCTGCAGCCGAGGGGTACCCTGGGCTCTGCGAAGGGAGGGGAGCCCGGCCAGCCCTCAGCCCACTCCCCTCAGGGGGCCCGCTTCTTGCACCCAGGTCTTTGGGGTCCCAGCCCAAACTTCCTGAAGGAAGGAAGGAAGGAGACATTAGGGAGTGTGCCTGGCACTTTGCATATGCGCTCCCTCTTAATTGTCAGCTATCAAATCCGTGGAGGAAGGCAGATCTGGGTTGATCCCAACTCCACACAAGTTGCTTTTGGGTAACTTACCTCGCCTCTTTCAGCCTCGATTTCCCCATTCAATGGAGTCCAACGGAGTAATAACGGTACCTACCTCCCAGGTCGGCGGCGAGGAGTAAGGAATGAGTTCTATTGCGCGCTAAGCGCTTTGCCCAAAGCCTGGCACTGGAAGCTAGCCTCACGAGGGACGTTGCCGAATACCATTATTAGGGAGCCTTGCTTTGTGAATGGGCAGATGGAGGCTCAGAGAGGTTGAGCCCCTTGCTCAAGGTCACAAAGCTACAAAGCCAGGTCTGTCTGGATTCGCGGAACACCACAGGGGTGGGAAGGGAAGATGTATGGATTACAAATATTCTCTCTTGAGTTAGCTCAAGGGCCTTAATTTTTTATTAGAAAAAGAATTGAGGCAGGTATTAGAGATCCAGGCTCCTCCCACCAGACCCGCCTGACTCCCCCCCACCTCGTGGGTGTACACACACACACACACACACACACACACACACACCAGGAAAGGTGCGAGGAGGAACAGAGAACTTCCTTGCGAGCGAGAGGAGAGGCCAGGGCCCAGCGGCCAGGCCCTCAGACCCTCTGCCCCAGGCCCCTAGCAAATCGCCGCGGCGCAGTGCTGGGGACCGCCGCTAGCGGCCGCTCTCTCCATTCATAAATCCGGCCTCGCTCCCGCCCCTCCTTCCCCCCTCGGACCCCTCCTTCCTTTGACTGGGCAGAAGCGACCCCGGGGTGTGTAGTAGGGTTGACGGTCCCTGGAGACCCCCGGGGGAGCGAGGGTACAGGGGCCGAACAGCTCCCTCCGCGGGATCTCCCTGCACCTCGGGGACTGCGGGGAAGGGGTGCAGGGGTGCAGCAAGACCCCTGGGTGTTCCGCAGCAGCCTGCCAGGAGGCGAGCAGGGTGGGATGGTGACCCAGCCTCCCAGCGTCCAGATCACTCCTGGACTCTTGGTCCACCCATCTCCCGTCGCAGGTCCTTTGGAGCCCTCACCCCCGGGCCGGGGTCCCCCACTCTCCGCACCTGTTGGCTCCGGGACCCGGGCGTTCTCGCTTGCTGGTTTCCAGACCTTGCACCCGGGACTCCGCCTTCCTCCGGGGAAGACGGACTCCTGGAGAATGCGACTAGGGAGGGGGCCGGGCAGCCCCCTCCCGAGGCGGCGTCGCCTAGCTCGCTGGCAGGGAGCAGCCCGGTTCCAGCGCGGGCAGTGGCTCGGCGCGGGTTCCGCCGGGCTGCGCCGCCGCGGGGAGGGGGGCCGGGAGGGAGGGGCAGGGCGGGGAGGGGAGCCCCAGCCTGTCTCGCAGCCCGAGACCCGGAGGGCGGAGGGAGAAGCTCATCCCTCCCCGCCTGTCACTTCACGCTTCCATCCCACCTCCATTCATGCGTCCATCCGTTCATTCATACGTCGGCATTCATTCAACATTTATTCCCCCGCCACCCCCATTTGGGCGCATCGACTGCATCCCCAGGGCACCATTGGGGGGCCACAGGGCAGAGGTGCACCCCAGCCCCACCTCTTCTGGCTACCTTACCTAGCTGACGAGGATGATGGCATAGGTGGGTCTCAGGGGTAAGGATGCCCGCGTCACCTCCAGCCGAGCTTTGGATGCTGCCAGAGCAACTAGCTCCCAGCGATGCCCAAAAGCCCTGCTCTCTCATCTCCCGACTCTCTGCCCCAAATCCTTCTTTCTGTTCATACCTACTTCCCCCTCCCAAGACCGACATGAGTTGGAGGCAAGAGAGGGGGTGCCAGAGGGGCTCATTAATTCAACAAATATTTACTTAGCTGTGTGCTGGTCAATGAATAGTAATAACACAGCTCCATTCCTATAGAGTGGTGAAATGTGATCTCATGAAACTGTCACATCAACCTGGTGAGGGTGTTTTTATTCCCACTTTACAGATGAGGACCCTCTGGACACACTTGGCTCAGTGTTTTGCCAGAAGTCATCCAACAGAGGCAGAGCTGGGTTCAAGCCTGTGCTCCTCTCAGATCTAACAGACCTGACCACCAAATAGAGGCTCCCCAACCCTCCAAAGGCTCTCTGGTTGCTGGAGGAAGGCAGGTGCACAGCCAGGCAATTCACCTATGGGTTCCCTAGAGCCGGCCCCTGGGGCTTGGGATCCTGAGACACAGCAGATGGGCTGGGCCAGGGCTTCCTCGAGACCTGAAAAATGAGAAGGTGACCCCGCAGAGGAGGGCGTTGGCAGTAGGTCAGAGGTCCTCATGGTAGAGGAAGTTGCAGGTGCAAAGATTTGCAGGTTGGGCTTCCTGGAAATGGCAGGTAAGTGAAGAGTGACCTCATGGGCCTCAGGCAGCCATTCCCTGTCTCAGAACATTAAACCCCGCCCTCCTCTCTCACCCTCTGAGGCTCACACTCCTTCCCTCCTAGAACTTGGCTCCTGAGATATAAACACCATCTTCCCTTAGCAGGGAAACCTTTTCACAGGTGCTGGAGATGCGCTGTTAGGCACAGAACATGTGGGCGGGAGCCGGGCAGCTATGGAATGGCGCCTGACCTCCTCTGCAAAACAGAAAGGAGCACTGAAGCTAAACTAAGGCAGAACTTTGTCCTTGGGCAGCCACAGCATCTGCACGAGGATGATGGGTAATAGAGACCTAGGATTCAAAACCGTCCTGCCTGCTTTAGGTGTGGCAGAGGTAGAGGCATGGATGAGGGACTCGAAGAGAGGGGCTGGCGTGTGTGTATACGCATGCGCACACATATGTGTAGAGGACAGGTACTAAGTTGGTGACTGGGGGTCACCTGGGTGGGATGTGTGTAGATGTTGATTTGTATTTTGGTGTGTGTGTCAGTGAGGAGTGTGTGTTGGGAGAGGGTATGTCTGTCTCTTTTGTGGGTCTAAATGTAAGGCTGTGACCAGCCTTGGCTTGCCAGCGCATTGCTCTGTGAGTGTGAAAATGTGAGTGTGGTCATGCCTTTGTGTCCATGGCTCTGTGAGTGTGGGAATGTGGAACTTGGTACATCTGCTTCCGTGAGGATGACTCATCCCTCCATGTTAACCCCCTCCCCCCATCTAGAGCTGTGACAGGCTTTGCCATTCAGGGGCTGGGGAGGGGGCTGCAGCATGTGGGGAGATGGAAGGCAAATCCTGCAGGGACATTTAAATGACAGCTGCAGCAAAACAAGGTACAGCCGCTGATGCGGAAGGTACAGATCCATGTGTCTGCGTGGGTGGTGGGTACCAGCTGAGCCCAGCCCAGCCAGGCTTAGAACTCAACAGCTTAGGGCCTCCCAGACACCCTGGATTGGAATGAGCAAGGGGCTCCTCAGGACCCCCCAGATCACTGTTCATGAGGGATGTGTCTGTGTGTGCACATTCAGACACACAAAGAGAGCCAGATGCCCCCCCCCACACACACACACACATACTCCTTACAGACACAATCGTGGCTGAGATTTGCCCAACCCCACCCAAAATATCCAATTTCCCACAGCCCATCTCCCCTTATGAGGGGGTCCCCAATTGCCAACCTTTCCCCCTTTTTATCCTTTGGCACCCCAAAAATAGCTGCTCCCCAGGACAAGTGACCATGAGCAGCTCCCTAAGGAGGCAGATCACTTTTCCTCTGCTCTCAGACCCTGGCCGGCAGGAGGCTCTGGGCCCCAAGTCCCTCTGGTCCTGAGTCTGGCCCACTCAGCTGCACCTGAGAGTGGGAGAAGCCATTCAGTGGCCCTCATTGCACATGAGGGAGACACCCCTGGGTGTGCTCAGAGGAAATGCTGCAGGCCGGAGAGGCCAGTGGCCCTCTAGAAGCCCCACAGGGACTGTGGTTGTTTGGTCCTCAGGGGGAGCAGCATAGCACGGGGCGCTCCTGGCAAAACATCTGTGCCTAGAAGAGAACCTTGGGTCATCCATCTCAGGCTGGGCCCTCAGCCCTGGCGCCTCTTCTACCCAGGGAGGGCCAGCCTTGGCTTTGCTGGAGCTGTCTGTCAACCAGTGCCCACATGACCTCTTTCCTGGAACCAGCCAGCCCCAGCCTTGTTGATCTAATCCTGAGCCTCTGAGCCATAGGTCCCTGTCACATCCATCTTCAAGTGTCAGCCTGGGCAGTGGCCCCAGGTGCTATCTCCCCCTCCATCCCAATTCCAATGAGACTTACAGTAACCTCTGTCTGGCTGGGACTAGAGCAATTGAAATGTAATTGGGTTTGCAACTTGCTAATGCTGCTGTAGCCTGGGGATGTGGGTGGGAGACGCTGGGAGGGCAGAAGTGCTGTTTAGGACAGAAATCAGAAAACAAGCAGAGATTGGGGGAGAAGGCAGCCACGACTGGGCTGTGGGTCCAGAAAAGGGGTTCTGAAGTCTGGGTCATGGGAGACCCATGACCAGAGGAATGAGGAATCTATGGGGTTTTTGGTCCTTGGGCCCATGACTGGCCTCTGGCTTCTGGGAATGCCTAGCCAAGTGCTCCTGCCCCTGGGAGGGAGCCATGGACCTCACGTACCCTGCCACCATCCTTTGTTCCTCCTTCCCCAGGGAAAGCCTCCTCCTTCAGGTCTGGGTAGCTCAAAGGGACCAGCATCACTGGGAGAGCAGGAGCCCAGGGCCTAGAGTCAGGCCTCCTCATGACCTTAAAAGCTAAAGAGCATCCTCAAGCCAGGGCTGGAGAAGGCAGCCCCTGCACCCACAAACACTGATGGTCCCTGGAATCCCAGTGGTTCAGGAGGCTGAGGCAGGAGGATTGTGAGTTCAAATCCAGCCTCAGCAAAAGCAAGGCACTAAGCAACTCAGTGAGCTCCTTTCTCTAAATCAAA